TCAGGCAACGTATAGTGCTCGATGCTATGCAGAGCGGTATAATAATAATAATACTAATAATAAGGAACTTGTAATTTCACTCTACAGGCTGTCTCTTATACACATCTAGATGTGTATAAGAGACAGATATATATATAAAACTCAATAAAAAAGATGAGATGAAAACGACTTGCTATGGTAGACTTAGAACACAAATTGTATTCAAAAATTATATATATATATATATATATATACGCCTATATATATAATATATATATGTATATATATATATTTGAGCTGTTAAAAACAAAACAACTTCATACTTAGCGTTCTTTCACATGACGTTAATTCAAATGTTATCAAGGGAAAATACATTGTTTTCGGAAACATCTCGTAGGCCTCCCAAGTCTACCTAAAATCCAGTTTTGAAGTAAGCCGATTCCCTCTGATAAAAGCAATGAAATTTTTTACGAAAAACATTTTTTCTTCTGAATTAAAAACTAAGAATATTTGTAAAAAAATTGCTAACAAATTAATATGAGATTTGTAAATATAATGTATATTCACACTTGTATGCTTATATTGTTTGTTGAATATTGTTTTAAATGTAGTTTTGTAAGACCGCGACACGAGATACGTTAGTGCAATAATATTAAGCATTCAGCGAGCAATTTCACTAGTTTTCATGAACAATGACGTCACTCCGGTGGTGGCACTTTATTGGATGATACAATTTACCGTACCTCTATATAGAGAAGATAAGATACGGTTTCGTATCGCTAGTCGCGGCGTAAAATGAATGTCTCTGAATGCTTAATTTAGTGAACTGTTTATCAGTCAATGACAGCCAGGTAATGGTATTATCATGTGGGACCAGTTCGGCCACGATGTATTTGTATGTGGAACACCATGCCTAATTTTAAACATTCCAGTAAGAATTTTAAACATTCGATCTGCTTACTAATCTCTTTACAGGTGGATAATATTAATAATGCAAAAAAAAATAAAAATAAGAATAAAAAAAAAGAAAAAGAAAAAAAAAAAAGATTATAACCTGAGCGGTATAAGAAACATTAAATGAATATTTAAATAAATGTAAATAAAATCTCGTATAAAAAAAAATTGTGGAGATGCCGGGGTTCGAACCCGGGGCCTCCTACATGCAAAGCAAGCGCTCTACCGCTGAGCTACATCCCCATCTGACGAAAAGTTAACAGTAAGGTCGCTAAACAATCTATTTTTAGACACTTTTAACCAAATCAAAAGTAAATTTGACTAGTTAGAATTTGAACTAAGAAGTATAAACATGATCTTAACGGTTTCATGTATTTATATACTATTGATATTGAGGGGTGTAGGCATGTTTCAACCTTGGGTTTAAGTGAAAAATTGAGAACATTTTTAACCCACTTAATTTGTGGCACCATATACATAGTATTATAGAGAAAACAGAACACTATGGTGGAACTAATTTGCAACCATGGGGGGGGGGGGGATAGAAAANNAGAGGTAGGTAGAAAAAAAAATGAAAATCAGTTTTAGGAGAACCTGGAAAAAGATATCAGTTTTAGGAAAACCTGGAAAAAGATGCCAATTAACATCTTGGAGCTCCCTAATGTCAAGGTAGTATGAGGTCACTTGTAACTACTTTAGCATATTTTTTTTCCTACAAAAATTTCCAGTGTCACGGGAAGGACATGGCTCAAGGTCTTGTAAGAGTGAACCCCTACCCCCGCCCGTGCACCCTTAGATACGCCACTGCTTTCAAGTTATATTCTAAGTACAGTACAGTATGTGTTTGATACCCTTTCAAAGAATAAAATAACATTATTTGAAGCATATATCAGATAGAAAACATAAACGAATACACCAGCACATTTACATAAAGATCGTCTTTATTAGAACATTTAAAACAACATAACATACATTTCCAACATTTTTAACACACAATCAACAAATAATATATAAAATGTAATCTTAGCTGGCATGAAATCAAATTAATATTTTCTTTTATTGCTTAATAAAATAATGTAATGAAAATTATCATCACGAACATCCTCATAATAATCATTGTCACAGTAAATTTTCAACTCAGTAAAGAGTCATGAATCTCCATCGCCGAAATTAGCAACATAGCAACAGTTTCATTAGCAGCAAAATTACCAAAATTATCATCATCACCTTAACTGCCAGAAATTATTTGCAGTCATATTATGACTTGATAATACTATTGCAATTTATCAATCATCAAAATAGTCATAATCATCAAAATTACTATCATCATAATAATCGTTCTCACCACCACTGTAATCATTATCATAATCATTACCACCATCAAAATCATTATCAACCCTAGTATCATAATCACCACCATCATCATATTACTACTACTGTATAATTTTTACCAAAATTATAATCATCACATCATCGTTTTTATAATCTTTTTTTCTTCAAAATCACCACCATCATTATTATAATTGTCATCATAATCACAACCATCATAAACACTGTTACCACAATAACCACTATCATAATCACCATTATCAATCATCATCAATACAGTTATTAAATCCATTTGACATTATTATCTGAATCATAATGATGATTATCATGATTCCCAACATCATAATCAACAGCATCATTATGACAACTACCTGCATAATAATAAGAAAATTAAAAGTCACATTGCACTTAATAAATCTAATACTAATTTTTTATCAGTAATTCTTTTCATGGAGATGTCATTCATGAGAAGAAATTTCATGAAAAACAAAATTGCAAATGAAAAGAACAGGCAGCACATAAACATGAAATGAGAAAATTTAATAAAGGTTGAGTACTGAGACTACAAAACATAAAACTCAAATTTTATGTAGCAAATTTGTGTGATGTGCCCATATATGGGCATGATGATGGCATATTACACACAAATACTGTAGGGGTATATCCATATTTGTCACATAACATTGCCTACCATGGTGCACTGCAATAAAATATGCAAATCAGACTGGAAAATTTGTTACCGAGGCGATATATCTCAAGAAATTTTATCAAGAATTTCTCTGAAATTCAGTGCCAGTTGCTATAACAATTCTTTAAACCTCTTTTCACACTATCAAATAACTGTGACATGCCTATACTTAGGTGTAATATGACATAATCATGTCCATATATGGGCACATCACACAAACTTGTCACATAAAATTTGATAGTCTGGACAGAGCTTTATTTTCCAATTTGCTAAAGAATTTGTTTTATCCAATCAAATCGCAACCTTCCATCATGTGAAACAATCTCTATAATAATACATTGTGACTGGATGTGATGAAGCATTTGTACCTCTCACAGGTGCTATGAACACATAATTGATAAATTAAAACACATAAGCAGGTAGGTTAGCTTATTATAATAGTACACTGGAATAATTAGTGATGCTAAAAAATATCGCATTGAAGAGCTTATAAAAATTGCATCGTTCCGTTTCTTTCATATATGATATCTACAAATTTGAAACTTGGATGATATGACCTCTGAGAACTGAAAATTGCAAAAAGAATTTTACGCATATTTGACAATAGAGGTCACAGAAGCAACAGAGCATTGCAAGAAGCACACGTTACAGCATCGTCTGCATTACTAACAGAGCACGTTGGACAAAGATTTTCACATGGCGATAATGATCTACGAGCTCTCCATACTCTATCGTGTCTGGCTGACTTTGACGTACTCATTCCCCCTGTTTGATCTCCAGTTGATTTCTTACCCCCGATCGCTTGCCCAGAATCTGTATGTGAGCTGATGCTACTGTTCGAGCTGCTAGAGCTTACGTTGTTGGAAACTGGTTGTTTTGCCGTGCTCTCATCGGATCTCATACTTTTCCTCTGACTACGGTTCTGCGTTGAACTTTGGGGTCTTGTTGATGTTTGAGCGCGATCGCTCCCGGTATGACCGGAGCTTTCTCCAGAACCATCCGATCTTGGTTCACTTGAAGACTTAGGTTGAGGTCTAGATCGTGAGTTACATTTTGAACAAGCGTGATTACGATGACAGGAATGAGAGTTCCCAGCACAGCGACTGCATCTGTAACTATTTTCTGAAGAAAGCAGAGCACGAAGAACATCAGGGCTGTTATGTGTAGCATCTGCTCCATCTTCAGTGTTTTGTGAACCATCAATAATTGGCTGTTGCGAGGAGCCCGCCAGGTACACAAAACTATGCCCCTGTGGACGTTTATAGCAACGTCTGGCACTAGCGGACTCAGAAACACAATCACGGCAGAACACGCGTGAACATTTCTTGCATTTGACGAAAAATGAACTGCTTTTTGTAGCACAATTGAACACTGAACACTTAAGTTCTCTAGAGTACCTAAAAAAAGTGAGAAAACAGGGTTAATAAAATATTTATGAATTACCTTGTCAGGGGAATGAATAAAAAACTAAGTCCTTTACATCTGCTCTGTTAGCAACATAACAATTTGGAACATTAGACTTAGCATTATTGCTGCCTTATATGTGTGACAATCATATTTTAACATTATAAGCACAAATAACAAAAACAAATAAACATAAATAATTACAACAATTGTTTTTTTTTTGCAAAAACCTTTAAATTGGTGGGTCAATGTACAGTTCAAGTATCTCACTGGAAATAGATAAATTTTTTGATCCTTTTACAATAAATCAGCAATTTAGTAAATACATCACTGTTTAAAACAGAAATGAAGCCTAGACCACTGACCTAGGCAAGGTCTAGAAAGGCATAATTGGTAATACTGTATAACCTATTTTTGTGTTTTATATGACATACAAATTTGGCTCCATAGAAAATTTCTTTGTAGAAATATCATTGACTTATTTTCCCTATAGCTCAATCTCTCAAAATATGGCCATATCTTCTCAACCTTTGCTAATGACCAATAAAACAACTAAACTTACGCAGATGAGGATTTCTGGCTGTGTTGATGTGACCGTCTTCTAGTTGGAGATGGTTCTTCTGAAGTAGATTGAGCAGCAGCGCCCTCTAGCTGGTTACCTTGGGGAAAAAATAGAAAAGGAGGAACTATTTATTTATGCTTGATTTCTATTATGACAAATTGCCTCAAGATTTAAATGAATATTTTACACTTATCACGCATCCACATGAAAATAGGAGAAAATCAAAGGGAAATCTATATCAGCCGAAAGCAGCCACTACTGGAGAATTTTCAATTACCTCTGTAGGCACCAAAATATGGAATGAAATACCAATACACATTCATAAAATTAAACACAGAAACACATTCAAAACCAAATTTAAAGAATTTTTACTATAATAAAAGGTTGTTACTTCGATTTAAGTTCAATTTTTCTCTATGGCATGTTTTTACCTTTACTATTATTATTATTACTATTATTGAAGTGTTTGTTTTAATTTATCTATTAATTTGATTTCATAGGATGTTGAGCTCGATAGGCATGAAGTTGCCTCTTTTCAACCACCTTCTATCTAAAGGATGTGTTATATCATATTGTTTCCATTGTATATGTTTCAATTTTGTCTTTTGGATAATAAAGAAAGAAGAAGCAAATTTTCTGCATGGAATCGCCTAGTACTTCTGTTATATATGAATATTGCACATATGAATGTTGCATATATGAATGTTGCATATATGAATGTTACAGATATGAATATTACATGTATGAATATTCCATGGGTTGCATGTCATTAACAGATATACATTCACATGGACACAATGTATTATATGCATGGTTTAACATTTCGTCAGTCTGCATGTTGCTAACTTGGTTCATTTTACTTTTTAGGATTATTATCTGAGGCACACAAAGTTAAAAATTTTCATTCCAAACCTCTGAAGTTTGGGATGAGCTTCCACATAAGAAAATATGTAATGCAATGTTTTTAAAGGTGATAATAAAAATGCTTTTCAATGTAAATTTGGATATAGTTTTTAAAGTTCATCCTTTTCTGATCTGACAGCCTAATTACACAAAAGCTTTCAAACTTGTCAGCAAAATTTAATCTTATTGCAAACAGAATACTGTGGACTGTACCATTATTAGCATTCGAGGCTGCACCCTCGGATTCCTGCATGACACACAAAATCTCCCTGGCAGAGAGTGAGACTGTTGTTCCAGCATCGCGACTCCCTTGGCCAGCCCAGTTGCCCGCATTGGGCCAAGCTGATCGAAGGGGGAGCTCAATTTCCATGTCGCTCAGATCACTGAGATCAGGACTTTCTTCTGTGGTTGATGAGTTGTTCTCCCTCGATGCAGCCGAAAACGGAAGTGGCATGTATGGGTAAGAACGTCGGTCTGTGGAAAAGGAATAAATATTATTATTATTTCATATTGCTGATCAATTGTAAATAAATAATTTTCCTTTTATCTTCTTGTGACACCGCCCCCCCACCCCTCAACTTTTCTCCCTAAGAGAGAACGTTCTAATCACCTTACCCTTAGTAGAGCACCAGATCAAAAAGCCTCATCGCACTTTCACATGAAAAAGCACACTCAGAACAACAGAAATTACATTTATATTCAAAAGTTTTTCTACAGGTCTACAAATCGCATCAAAATCACTTTATTTTTTCGGTCCTACTAAACACCGCCCGACAATGTTTTTCATTGCCTGAGTGTATATATGATTAGTATTTTACAAATAAATAACGCCCGAGGATAGATAATGACTTTTTACTCAACAATACATACCTTTGACCGACAGAAATAATTTAAATATTTAATAAAACATTAATTTAATTTTATAGACTTTCAGGTGTTTCGGTGTGCTGCCAAAAGGCGTAACTCGTAAACTAACACTGATGAGGCGTTTAACAATACACCGTTGACGACAATAAGATCGTCATTATCCCGTAGACGACAATAAGGTCGACTTTATTTCCTCTGCCATTTATTCTAATAAATTGTCCCTTTTCTTTATTACTTACGCGAATTGGGCGAATTAACACCTTTACCCATTGTGTTCAAAGTATTACACA